GTCTGTTTTAGAGACTAAACCAGCTCTCTTGTTTTAATCAGCTTCTGCTCCACTATTAATGAAATAGCATCACCGGGGACCCCCCGGGAATGTAAAAAGTCACCTAATTCCATCATTTTCCATCAATGTGTTACCTGCCCTCTGAAACAACTCACATCATTGTCAGTGAAGCTGAGTGCTCCCACATCTCTTCCTTCATGGTGCCCATCTACATTAAGATCCAGAATTCTGAGATTAAAGTCAGAATTCTGAGATTAAAGTCAGATTTCTGACATTTTTTCCCCATATTAAACTGAAATAATATTTAAAAATCAGTTAACTTTTTCTTTCAGTGCCTCTAATCCTCTTCCGTAGAAACATCAGGTAAAACGGATGATCTATTCTTCCACAGCTGAGTTTGAAGCGGGGCTAGATGCTGCAGCTGCAGCTGCTGCATCAGGCCTGCAAATGTAAACAGACCGCTGAGGGCTGTTAGCTGAAAACCGCTGCCTGTTCAGGATGCTAGTTATGCCTATAAAACCTTTGGCGGAGACACCGCCGGCTTTGCAGCTCTCATATGGTGGCTAAATACGCGTTGATAACAAAAACACGAAGCATTATGTTTTATGAAAATAAAAGTGAGGAATTGTACACATGCAGCAACTGCGAAGCTCGATGGCGAGCGGAGCAGCTCGAATAGCGGACCGTGAAGCTGAGCCTATCTGCGTTAAGCTAACTGGCTAGCAAATCACTAGCTAGCAAATCACTGCTAGCCGGGCTGGCAGGCTCCGCCGCGCCCCCTCTCTGGCCCCAACTCACCGATGTGAATGTCCTCGATATGGACGATGAGCTCGGCGAGAGACTCGAACTGCAGACCGCAGCCCCCGAACCTGCAGGAATTAGAGAAGAAAGAAGCGGCGGCGATGCCCGTCATTTTTTTTTCTTTTTTAACGCTCGCGGGTGGAAAGAGTAGGAAGGGAGCCGGGATGGTGAACGAGCAGGCACAGGCTTCAGGGGGTCCGGGGAGGGGGGGTTGGGAGCGGGGCAGAGCGCGGAGCAGACACCGGGGCGGCCAGACAGGACAGCGGCGGACGCAGCTGGGAGGCTGGCGGTGACGGAGGAGGGAGGAGGAGGAGAGGGAGGCTGGTGGCGGACTACGTCACGATGCTGCCTACCTGTTGGAATCAGCCAAACACACTACCGTTAGAGCAGATGCGCACACATGCCTATAATGAATGTGTTTAATGACATCAGTATGCCAAGATTATGATGAATTTATATTTTATTTTAGGTTATAAGCAAGTAGCATCTGTTATTTACGAAAAAGGATTAGGGCCACTGAATTTCTGAGGAAAAAGTAAAAATTCTGAGATTAAAGTCAGAATTCTGAGAAAGTAAGTCAGAATTCCGAGATTAAAGTCAGAATTCTGAGGAAAAAAAGTCAGAATTCCGAGATTAAAGTCAGAATTTCTGACCAGGGATTTAATATACTTTTTATTAAATATAACATAAGGTGGTAATGGTAACATAACATTTTATGAACCTATTCATAAAATGAATAGGCCCAAACCTATTAGCAAAACTAACAATGCTATTATCATCAACATATTCCTTTTTTCACCTCAATAGGTTGAGGTTCTCTTGAGCAACAGAATTGTACCTCTGCAGGCTTTGGGCCTTTAGGTAGCTATCTGTTGACTATCTGTTGCATGCACAGCACCATTTACTTTTTTTTTTTTAACTGTTAGTAAAGATTTACATGTCGTGCTGATATATTCATAAAAGACCTGTAACTACAGCTCCCAGTAAGCCTTGCAGCTCTCAGATCACACCATATGTAATATAATTGGATGCAACCCACCATTGAGCCTCTCTTGTCCTTTTGCTTATGGTCATACTGCGCTTTACAAGCCTGTTCTAGCTGATCACATTCAACCACTCTCCACAGTCGCAAAGTGCTGAGGAGACAACAACTCTCAGCTGAGAGATGTTTCTTTGGGAAATTTGCATAAACCTGGTGGTGCTACATCTTCACTGGGGGAGCTGTTAGACCACTTTCACATCAATCCTTGTGAGATTATATAAGATTGTCTCCACAATCAGAATCTGCACATTGCCAAGCTACTGTATGCCATGGACCACACCTTACCCCCTTTGCCCGAGGCTGCTGCTACTCATATACCCCAGTTCAACTGGATGTGCAAGTGGTGCATAAGCGGATTGCATTGGCAATCACAGAGCTTCCACCGGTCAAGCTGGGGCGCTTTTCTGAATCATCCCACAACTACTGGACACTTCTGGCTGATTGGGGTTCCTCCTAATTACAACAAGTTAGCTGCTGTGGGACTTTTACTCCCTTGTGAGGCAAATAGAGTGAGGGTGTATAACTCCCTCTTCATGTATGGCTACAATCTGGTGCAGCTGATATGTTATCTCCCATTTTTCTGAAGACACCAACATCTTAGGCCTCATTACTGACAACTGCAAGAGTGCCTTCAGGAATGAGGTGAAATCACTGACCATTTGGTTTCAGGAAAATAAGCAATCGCTGAATATTAGAAAAACTAGGAATATAATAATGGAATTTAAGGCACTTCCACACTGATCACAGCAAAGTTTCTGGTTCAATTGGGATTGGTTGCTTGTCATTTCACCGCTCTTGTAAACAATATCCACGTGGACTACAGGTCGAAGTTATGTCCAGCTTGCCTCCCTGCATCATCATCACCACGACCACACCCTTTACCCGACTGGTTAAATTGAATTAACAGAAAGGTTAAGATGTTGGAACTTCCCTTCACTCTATTTGGGCAGTGTTCCAATTCTGCCTATGTGATTGCTTAGAAATGCACCATTTTGCATCACCAACCATTAATTGGCTCTTGAACATGCCCTAACATGGGGATAGCATGTAAATCTCTCACTCCATTTGGCTTCCTTCTGTTCAGACTGAATGCATTATTTAGCATTCCAGTGTTTCTGATTTCCTGATCCTGACCTGTTCTGCCTCTCATCCTCTGAGTGTGTCGGTTCCCATCTGTTCTCAGTGGAGAGAGTGGTTTAGCGTTCAATAGTGTTTCTGATTTACTGACTCCTTCTGGCTCTCAACCACTGAGCCTGTCTGTTCCCGTCTGAACAGATTCCCTGAACTGACTTAGGACTCATGTACCTCTGAACCAGCCTGTTTTAATCGGTTTCCCTAACCTGGTTTCGGACTCCTGCATATTTTCCTGGGCTGCAATATCTGGGACACTCTGATCGGTGCCTGTTGCATCCTGTTGGAAGCCCACTGGCTGGATCCTACCTTGTTCTATGGCGATGGACTAAACTGTTAAACCAGAGCTTCAGTGATAAATGCCCTATCTGCTGGTACCACGGATCCACAGCCCGCTCTGCTTAAATAAACGCCTATTTGAAGTTATCCCACTGTCTATTCTGCCTGAATTCTGGTTCCTCTGTCCTATGTTCTGACCCCTGATGGTGTCAGCTCCAGAGTCCAGAAGGCCTGTGCAGAGCAGCTCTGTGACCCTGCAGATAGTTCTAGTGATGTGGAAGACCTCTTGCCTTGTTCCTGTACAAAGAAAAGACTGAGCCAACAGTCCTCAGCGCCTATAGACATGTTGCCCTGACATCCCACACCATGAAGGTCCTAGAGAGACTTCTGTTGTTTCACCTTAGCAAACAAACAAGGAACTATTAAGAACCCCTGCAGTTTGGTTATTGCTGTGGAGTTGGTTCGTTGAAGCATCTAGTACTCTCACCGTTCCTTTTTACTCGGCACTCCTCTGACTTCCAGTACCAGAAAAAGTTCTGACTTCTGCAGAAACACTTGGATGACTCTGCAGTCATTGGATGCATCAAAAGATGGACACAAGGTTGAGATCAGAGAGCTGGTGAACCACTTTGTGGCATGGTGTGGAAACAACCATCTGTTCCTAAATGTGAATGAAACAAGGGAAATTATTTTAGATTTCAGAAAAAAAACATGAACAAGTTGAATCCTATTAACATCATGAGAGAAGAATGGAGGTGGTGTAGGAATATAAATGCCTTGGTGTTCACTGGGACAACAAACTGGACTGGAGACGCAACTGTGAAGCCGTCTAGAAGAAGGGACATGGCAGATTGTACTTCCTAAGGAAGCTTAGGTCCTTTGGCGTTTGTAGCAAGAAGTATGTTTTGGAGTTTGATCTCCTTTTCCATAATTTGCTGGGGGAGCAGCATTAGACCTAATGACTTAAAAAAGATCAACAAGCTTATAAAGAAGGCCAGGTCTGTTCTAGGAACTCCTCTAGAACCTCTGGAGATTATTTAACAAAGAATTCTTCATAAAGTGAAGAAGGTTATGGACAACAGCGGGGACCCTCTTCTGATTGTTAAACAAAAACAAAGCATCTTCAGTAAGAGGCTTCTCCAGATCTGGTGCAAAACAGACCAATAGAAGATTCTTTATGCCTACAGTTGTCAACACCTAAAACAACTCGATAAAAAAACAAGCCTTATGGGTATTATTCAATTTCCCTTTTAGATTAATAAAGTATTTTTGAACTGACATAAGTAACAACCTTTTTGTAAAAATGACAAATCTAGTTTCTTTTTGTTACAAGTTTAGCAACTTCATGTCAAAGCAGGAAACAGCACTGAGAGCTCCTGTGAGTCTCTCTCTGCTTTCCAAATCACTATCTCATAGGCACAGAAAGAGCTGCCATGAGCCCAACCAGCCTGATGTGCTTCCCTAATCTCACTTTCACAGACAACTGCCTCGTCCTGAAAACCCTGCATGCAGTCAGAGCAAAGAGAGCAGAGAGGAGACCTGGTCGGTTTTCCCACAGCTAACGTATAACGAATGCACAAAGCAACCAATGTTTCTGTCCTGGATCGCAAAGCAGGATATGGATATAATCTAAGTATATTTCTTTAGTCTTTGATTTTCCCCTCGGCTTGAAAGCATGTGCTTCTGATAAATGTCTTTATTTTAGAATCATATGCATGTAATGTGAATTCAGGCAATGTACAGTATAAGAAATCATAAATTATTTCAGAATCTAAGTTTAACTGATGTTGGTTTTCAACATTTTAAAAACAGGGCATTCAATATTATATTTTTGTTTCATATACAAAAGAACCCGTCCTCCATTGGCCACCACCATGAAAGTAAAAAAAAAAAAGATCCCAGAGGGAAACTCTGTTAGACTGTGGTACTTCTGATCTTCTGGCCTGGAATCCTGCTCCTACTACGACTCTGGTTTTGGATTCTCCGTATGGATAACTTTGCTCTTCCGCATTTGCTGGCTTCTGCTCATCAGCCTGCTTAGCTTCTTTCCTGGAACTCTGGGGGCGGCTACCGCCACATTCTGTGGAGAAACAATCCATCTGGATTAAACTCCTTCCTCTGGGCTCAGACTGAACTCATAACCAGGTTAGTGACTTACCTTTTCATTACCGTGGCCCGTTTGAGTTTCATAGTCACTAACTTGAGTTTCCACATCTACAGAGGATCCAGTGAAGCTGCCCCTGCTGTTGAGCCACTGTGCGCAGAAGGAACAATAAACGGCTGTTTTGATAAAACTCTGATCTGTCTGCTGGAATTCTGGGTCCAACGTTCTGAGTTTCTGACAAGTGCCTCAAGGAGCCTCTCTATGAAACTTGAAGGAAGTTATCCCACCAGAGATCTTTGGTTTGCTCTAAGTAGATTGGACTCCATTTCCATGGATAATACACTTTCGATCTCTGGTTTGACCTAAAGATTGAAACTCTTTAACAGTTTAAGTTAGCAGTTATATAAGCTATACTCTCATTTTCAAGAAAGCAAGGATACAAGCAAAAACCAGAGTGAGAAAGTCAACAAAACATTCCAAGTGATGCCTCCAAACCCAGATTACCTTCCCCTAAGGTCCAATATATCTTTATATTTTAGATATGTGTCTGCTTCAGTGTAGTTTTGTATGGTTTGGTAGGCTTTTTTAAAGTATGAAATGGAACTGAACTAAAGGAGGGTGTGCCTTTTCTGGCAGTCACAAATAATAAGCTCTTATTAATTTAAAACCTATCCCAATAAA